ATTCTAGTAAACTTGAAGATATTGTTGGGGAAATTTCCTTTTTCTACCATGATCTTAGTAATTTCCTCTAAGATTCTAATTTATTACTTTTTGTTATTTTTTATTGTTATTTGTTTTGTTGTTATTTGTTGTATACGTCATTCTATTCCTCATTACTATTGTAATACTTCACCTTTCTCTTGTTATTTATTCTGTTTTCGTATGTTTCTTTGCTTCTTTATGTTTCTATGTTACATTTCTTCTTATTTCTGCACCTTTCTTTCACCCTAATTCCTCACCATTTGAAATTTTTGAATGTTAATTTCAACCCTGCCACGTTGCGTTTTTATTTAAACCCTTATCAGCGATCTAATAATTCATTCTTCGCTGACATTTATGTTATTCTACGTTGTGTTATTATTTTGTTATTATTTATTTTAGTATTGATATTAATTATTTAGTGTTTCTTATTTATTTCCATAATTCTATTGTTATTTATCTCATTTTTGTCATTGAGTGTTTCATTATTATGTCTATACTGACTTTTTTTTAGAGAGTCCAAAATATATATATATATATACTGATATATATTTTTTATTATATTTTATTATTATTTTATTATAATTTTACTATAATTTTGTCAGTGTTGTCAGCTGACATTTCTATTTGAGTTTTTTAGATTTTCATTCTATTATTTTTAGATGTTTATGTTATCTATCCCATAATTCTATTTATATTTGATTACGTATTGATGAGTCAAATCTATTTCTATAAATATATTTGAGTTGTTGCCACGTCAAATCTATTTCTATAAATATTTCTTACGTATTTCCACGTCATCATTCTATTTCTATTTTTAATTACCACGTCATCACATTCCTTTTTGTGATCATTGCTGTGTTCTATTTTTAGAACACTATCATACCTCACAAATTTCTTAATAATTTGTGTTTTTCTACGCGTAGAAAAACACAAATTATTAAGAAATTTGTAAAATATGACAGTGAGTTTTATTTAAATATTTTCTTCTTTATATATTTAAAATTTATCTATTTTATCTAGTTCTTAATTATTATCTTATTCTATTTTTATATCTTTTTTATTATCTATTTCTTATTAACTTTATTATTCTATGTTTTATTTTTATTTTTATTTCTTCTTTTTCTTTTATATTATTATTATTATTATATTTTTATTTCATTTCCAATGAAAAATATAAGTATTTTTATGTTTTTATTATTCAAAAATTATTTTCTAATAAATTATTAATATAAATGAAAATATAAATTATTCTTTTGTATTAATTAAAAGAATATGAAATAAAAATAAATATATATTTGATAATATAATAAACTATAATAAATCAGAGTTTATTTTTAAATGAAATAGATTATAAAATTATAAATATGAGAATAGAAAATAATTGTTTTTGATATTAAACAATGTTATAATATAATAAATAATATAAAATAAAATATTATATAAAATATAAATAATTAAATAATTAATAATATACCATAAATAATTTATCACACTATTTTAAATTGTACCATAAAAAAATAATTATGAAAAAAGAAATAAATAAAGAAAAATAAATAGTATAAATAAAAAATTATAATAAATTTTATAATAATAAATAAAATAAATTAATAAATTAAAATAAATATCTCAAAGAATGAAAATTAAAAATAATTTTATTTATAAATATAAAATTATAATAATAATAATAAATATAAAATTAATAAATCATTATAAATTTATAAAAATTTTAATGAAATAATAATATTTATTATTTTAATTTATTTAAGTAATATAATAATGTATATATTTACAAATAAAATAAAAATAAATTTAAATATTTTTTCATTCATTATTTAGTTCATAATTATAAATAAAAAAGAATTTAATAAATAATAATAAATAAATATAAAATAAAAAAAATAAATTGAATTTAAATATATTATTTTATAAATATTTTTATTTAAATC